GAATCAATATATATATATATATATATATATATATACTTGATTTTCATTTTTATTTCTTCTATTGTATTATTAAATAAATTATAATATTGTATATAAGTTTTTTTTTTTTTTTTTGTACAGCATTTTCAATTTTGTATTTTGTTATTGATACTCACAACTTTCTTTATCGTTTGGGTTGTTGACTATTTTAATGCAAGAATATATACATAATTTCTTCCTCTCACACGCAAAATAATTTTTTTTTTCTCTTTCTCTCACGTCTAATAAATACATACATTATTTCTCAATAATCTCTAGAGAACAACTTATAACAGAGTTAGTTAGGATGCAAATCATGAATAAAAATAGAAAAACTTGAAGATTTAACCTTTAGACTCTATATTCGTTAAAAAAATGGAGATGTCATTGATGAGGATTCAGTTGAAAGTTTTATATAGAGCAATGAATGTTCATTCTAAGGCTTCAAATCATATTCAGCTCGACTTAAAGATATGACTGAGCTATTAAAATTTATCTCGCGCGCAATATTTTATCTAACTTTTATATTTCATTTACCATTATTTTTGCTCTAATTTTGTTTTACGTTATTTTATTTTTTTCTGTTTTTTCCTTTAAATTCACAGTACTTTTAGTCTCTTGACGCGTCGTAATACTAATAGCAATTTATCACTGGCTACACTAAGAGAGTTTTCTTTCACGCTGTAGAAGAGATTTACCGAAGAGCAATAAAGGATTGAGCTGGAGATATAAAGACTTAAAGACCAACAGAAACAAGACAAAAAAAAAAGATCTATTGAAGAAACAACTTAAGAAACTATATAAAAAAATAAACAAGTTAAGTGAGAAGGCGAACCCTGACGACTACTACAGTAGTGGTGATAACAGCGGTTACACTATCGGCAACTACTACGACTATAATGACGACTATTGTCGCCGTAATCGTTATTGGTGTTATAATAGTCGTCATTGTAATCGTAGTAGTTGCCGCTATTGTAGCCGCTGTTATCACCACTGTTGTAATAGTTGTCAAGGTTCGCCTTTCTCCTTAACTTGTTCATTTTTTTATATAGCTTCTTGAGTTGTTTTTTCAATATATTTTTTTTTTTGGTCTCGTTTTTGTTGATCTTTAAGTTTTTGTATCTCCAGCTCAATTCTTTATTACTCTTCGGTAATTTTTTTCTACAGCGTGAAAGAGGGCTCTCTTAGTGTAGCCAGTGATCAGTTACTATTGGTATTACAATGCGTCAGAATACTAGAAGTACTGTGAATCTGAAAGAAAAAACAGAAAAAAAAAATTAAAAAAAACGTAAAACAAAATTAAAACCAAAATAATGATAAATGAAGTATAAAAGTTAGAGAAAATATTGCGTGCGAGACCAATTTTAGTAGCTCAGTCATATTTTTGAGTCGAGCTGAATATGATTTGGAGACTTAGAATAAACATCCATTGTTCTATATAGAGCTTTTAACTGAATCCTCATCAATAACATCTCAATTTTTTTAACGAATATAGAGCTTGAAAGTTTAACTTTCAAGTTTTCTATTTTTATTCATAATCTGTATCTTAACTAAGTCTGTCATAATTTATTAAGAGATAATGTAAGTGCGTGTTAGACGAAAAAAAAAAAAATAGAGTTTGTTTTGTGTGTGGCAGGACTATAGCTATCGTAAAACATTATGTATATATTCATTAAAAAAATTACATAAATTTTCAACAAGGCAGAGAAAATTGTGAGTATTAATAACAATAAGGTGCAAGATTCGTGAAAGAGAGCGGTGTTGTACGGAGACAAATCTTGAAGGTTTTAATGTCAGCATTTATGGTTGATGGGAATGGAGATAAGAGAAAGAGAAATGTCTCGTTCATTTTATCTATTTAAATTTTTAGTTTTAAATTTTTATAATAAAAAATTTTTAGAAAATGTCACATTAATTTTTTCTGTTACAGTAAAAAACTTTTAGAAAATATCATATTTCAATTTAAATTAAAAATTTGAATCCGCGAAGTAAATGAGACCAAAGAGAAGAGAGAGGGGGTATGTCCGTAATGAGGAGTCTGAGCGTGTATGGGGGAGAGAAGACTTTGAGTTGAGACAGAGGAGAGATGAAAGCAAAAATGGAGAGAAGAAGGAAAATGGAGAAGAACTCTAAAGGCCCATCAACACGTGGAAAAAAGCTGCAGACAGAGAGGAGAAAAGGGAGAAAAAAATTTCAGAGCAAATGAAGGCTAAAACATTAACGGGGAGGAAAACCTGAAGGAAGCAGGCCAAAACTTATTCGAAGGCAGTTGAAAAATGGGTTGCGTTATTTTGCAACACAAAAGACACCCAAACAGGTAAAGTAGTCTTTCTTTCATTAGAGAATTCTAAAGGTATGTTTGGAGGATGGATTTAAACCCCCTTGGTTTTGGTTCTTTCTTTCTTTCGCCACCGACAATTATGTTATTGTCCTCTAGCTTGTCTTCTAGAAAGCCATGGTTTGAATTATATATTATTCTTGCGTTGAATTATATATAGAACGAGATATACGATACTATTGATATTGATTTTATAGGTTTGAAGCACACCTAGAAGTTCATGTGGGGCCAGTGCATGAAGAGGATGATGAACAAGGCATTGCACATATGACTGAACATGTTCTTCTTGACTGTGAAAGCTTTTTTCAACTTCCCGGGCCAGATTCTTGGAAAGCAGCATATACTACTTTCAACCAAACGGTTTATCACATCACATCACTTCACAAACCATATTGGAGGTTTCTTATTCATTAATTCTCATTTCTTCATGCTATGGATTTATTTTGTTTATTTTGTTTTTATTCACGGTAGATCACTTTAAATTTTACATTATGTTAGTTGTGCCAACATATGCATTCGGAGAACAAGTTGAGTAAAAGGTGTAATATTTTGGGACTGGAGGAACAAATTATGAAGTAGAATGTTGCTCAAATAAAAAAATATCATAACCGTTGGTACTTTCCTGGCAATGCAACCTTATATATTGTTGGGGATATCAACGACGTTTCCAAAACAATTGATGCAATACAAGTAAGATTGATATATAAGTCTTGTGTAACATTAATTATCACTTTTTGGCTTTATGATGCTCTCTAAATTAAAATTACTTTCTTATTGCAGGCAGCCTTTGGAAAATCTAACAAGAGATCATCTGCAATGTTAAAAAATAGAAGACCGGATCATCCTATTCGGCCTCTATTAACAATACACCATAATTGGTCCCTCCCTAAATGCAACATAGATGATCAAAGGTCTCCAGTACAAATTTTCCAGCACAACCTCATTCACAACTTTTCCTTTCATATTTGCTCAAAGGTTAATGATAATGATATTATAACGGCTTTAGGCATATCTAGTTCAATTTGTGTAAGAGGTTTTAATAGAAAGTGATTGATTAATTTAATTATCATAGGATTATCTAAGAAACATCATTTATATAGGTAAAGCTGGTCCTCTTTTTAACATAAAGAAATATTAAATGCTTTGTTAAGTTGATTTGTAGCAAACTACTATGAGCTATCCATTGTCGTTAAGCATTTTTCAGGAATTGAAAAAAAAAAAAAGCAACATATATATATATATATATTTATATGCGCTAATTTCTCTTTTAATATGTTAGATTAAATTAAATTAGAGATAGATAGATAGATTATATATGCTTAGCTATATGTAGAATGTATGAGTGGCATCGATTTAAAAATCTTCAAAAAAGGCGGCCTTTGCTTTCAATTTTTACTCCGAAAGAAAATTGCAATGTACGCGTTTAGTTCGTTGATTTGAATTGTGTTAAATTTGAAATGTTTTGATTAATAGAAAATTTCAAATATCATGATTTTATTATGAAATAAGGCATAGCCTTTTATAAAAATATATATGGCATAGCCTTTTATAAAAATAAATTCTAATTTTATTATAAATACTAATAAATTCTTAAAATTAGAATTTAAGATAGACGGGGGAATATCTGTTATTATAAAAAATATATATATGAATTGCCCACCGTCTATCTTAAATTCTAATTTTATTTGTGTATTATTTATAAGATTTGGAAAATATGGCATAGCCTTTCTATTGAATAATAATAAGTATATATACAAAGTGTACAGGATTTGATTAGGATAGTTTCTTAATATCAAATTAAAATAAAAGATATTTCGTAACTTTTCAATATGTCATCAGTATTGATCTTAGAATGCTACCCTTTTCAATATGTCATCAGTATTGCAACAAAACCACCCAAACTAATGCAATGTAGAAAGTTACTTCAATTTTTACGCAAGGGTGCAGACTATACATGCTAAAGAGCTTCCATTTTTAAGTGACCTCTCTCTCTCTCTCTCAAAATCACATCAAGTGTGTTATTATTATGACATGAAGGGGCCACTTGTAGATTTTTTTTTTTTTTTGGGAGAAGAAGTGATTACTTGTATAAGCACATGGATTGTAAAGTATATTCATGCTTTTGTTTCGTTTTCGATGAAGTGGGTGTAGACGATGAGATTGGAGTGGAAAGGCTATGGAGAGTTCGGGTTGGAGCAAAGCACATGGATTGTTGCATGCCTGCTTGGGTTTTTGCAAATTCAGTGTTGTGGAAATCAGGTCTAACAAAAAAATTACAAAAATAATTGTGGTACCCTACTGGTATACAATACACACACGGCATTAGAACAATGTATGTGACTTATGCTCCATATGTACTTTTCGTCTAAGTTTTGCTACCACACCTGTATTGAATTCGTTCTTATGCAATACCAATTAAAAAAATATTGTTCACATAAATTCCTATTATACAATTTTTTTAATATACGTGTTGCGCTCAAAAATTAAAAAAAATTAAAAAAAAAAGTTATAGGTGTTCCCTTACTAATGAATTCTGATTTTCATAATTTTTAAAATAAAAAACTAATGATTTTCTTACTGAATTACCACCAAATTCACGATTAGAATTGTTTCTAATCCAGACGCCAAATCTGTTTAAATTTACAATTCACATGACTCATCTAAATGCTAATTCAGATTACATTTTCTGTTCCGATTATATTTTCTATTCGAATTAAATGCACAACCAAACGCCAATTCAGATGACTGTTTAAATCACATTGTTCAAACTTTTTTGTTAATCAAAACATTTTAAATCAATACAATTCAAATTAACGAACCAAACAGATGCGTACATTACAATTTTCTTTTAGAGTAAAAATTGAAAGCAAAGGCCACATTTTTTAAAGATTTTTACATCGATGCCACTCGTACATTCTACACATAGCTAAGCATATATAATCTATTTATCTATCTCTACTCTAATCTAATTTAATTTAATTTAATCTGACATATTAAAAGAGATATTAGCGCATATATATATATATATATATAAATAGAGAGTGTATTTCTCTACTATTTGCCAAACATTGTAAAACTCACGTCCTTTTTAGTGCTTTATTTTTTTTTTCTTTTCCTTTGTCTTTTTCCGTTTCGTGATTGCTTTGTTCCCATTTTTTTAACTCATCCTCAATCATATTACGTATTAATGCAATTGTGTGGATGAGTTTTTAAAAACAGTAGTAGTTTTTAGTGTGCGGGATTTATTTAAAATAACGATTATATAAATTATTTTTTAAAAAAAAGAAAAAAAAACAAAAGACATAAATAAAAAAGAAATGAGGACAAAAACGAGACAAGTTTTGAACCAAAAGATGGGGCAAAACTTTAACTTATTTTATTATGTTTTAAATTAATTTTATTTTATCTATTTTGTTTTTTATTTGATTCAGCGTGGCTTTATTTTATTTTAGCTTTTTGTTTAATTTTATTTTTTATTTGAACTATTTATAGTATTTTTTTATCTGAGCAGCCTAAAAAATTTAGTGCAGAACGACATTAAAGCGGACAAATTAACACCTTTTTTTTTTCTTTTTTCTTCTTTAGTCTTTGTTTAGTTTTTTAATTGATGATATATTTTTTTATTAATGTGCCTTCTTCCTCTCTGTTTTTTTTAGAAATTGGGCTGTGTAGCCCTTTTTTTATCACATCTTTTTATAAATGACTAAATTTTTTTATTTTACGAAAATAGTTGTTTTGTTTACACAAGTCAATTAGTTTATGAATAGTTTATCATTAATAAACATGTAATTTGTTGATCAAAATTGATTAATTACTCGTTGATTTTAGTTATTTATTAATTTAGATTAATAATAAAAAATAATTGAGTTAATCAGTGAAAAAATAGAGTCAAAACAATAATTAACCGCTGAGTCAATCACATAAAAACGATCATTTTTATAATTTTACAAAACTACAGTCATTTATGAAAATATCTTTCAAAACGGGTTATTTATAATGAAATCCCCCTCCCCCTCCCCTTTTTTTTTGGAATGGAATGTGCCTTCTTCCTTCATCTAGCCGTTTTTGTTGTTTGTTTTATGACGTCATAAATTTGGAGGTTTCAACCTTAAAATGAAAAATAGCAAACGCAATAGAAAATGTAGCATTCTTGTTAATAGGCCTAGGTGAGAGAAGTAACATTTGTTTATATATTTTATGAATCGTAAGTGCGAGAAAAGAGATTGAATTTCAGAAGTTGGGTCGGATAATAGTGGAGTGACACTACTGTAAATATGTGCTGAAGAACTGGTTTCTTATTTGGAGTGTTTGTTAGAGAAAAATCAAAGTGGCACGCGCCAAAAGACAAATATAACATTGTAAAAGAATTTTACAAAGAGTATGAATTTAAATCGAGGTCATTAGTATTATACCTAGATGATTGTTTATCAGTATTTAATTAAATGTAATTTCTCTTAGAGAAAGGTAAGTTGAACTTTTTTTTTTTTGTAACAAAAAAAGGTAAAATTGTACTTATATGCCCATATTCAGTCCCTATTCTCCTTTATGTCCATGTGGATGGAGGGATTAGATTTTGGTGGGGAGGCAATCTCTTGCTCTTTCTTTTTATCGTATCAAATAAAGGACTCTTAATGCTCTTTTCATCTATAAATAATGAAAAAGTCAAAAAAGAACCTCTTCTTCATCTATAAATAATTATTCCAATAAATTCGAACCGAAAGTTTCTACATATATTAGAAGTATTATCAAAAAAAGCCTTATGTATGCTCAATTATTAGCTTTTTTATTGTCGGATCTCGGTATACGCCTTCCTCCTCTGGTCATCAAATATTGAATTATTATTGGTACTTTGTAATTTTCAATTTGTATGAATACAATTCTCATTTTAATATGTGGTTTTAATAGTTACTCGAATATTTATCTATCAATATGTATTGTTATTTTAATCGTAAGATATTGATCCGACGGTTGTAATAAATTAGATAGTTGACAAAAAAAATTAATAATAATTAATGAAATTAGATTTTTATCACATCACATCATTAAATTTTCATATTTAACAGTAACTACGGATGGAAACGTAACTGTTAAAACAAGTCTATATATATTCCCTTCTCTTAAATGCACTTTCCTCGTATAAAAAAAAAAAAAAATTTGCAAGTGACCCCTCGCATGGCAAGTTTGGGTTGAAAACAGTTTACTTAGAGCGAAAATAGATGAATGAAATAGCAAGCAATGCTAAATAAACATTAATTGTCTAATAAAAGAGGCAAGTCCATAAAAATATATGCTCCGAAAAAAAAAAGGCAAGTTAACTAGAAAAAAATACGTCGAAAATATATAATCGAAATATAGTTGGTGTTATAAGTCCTATGTTTTCAAAATTAAGAATTAATAAAAATCATAATATTCTTAAATTAGACATTTTATGTAATTATTTTATTGATAATCCCTAGTTAAAGGACAATTGACGTTGGTCAGATAAGAAATTTTTCTTTGGTAAGTACAAAGCGGTCAAATAAGAAATCTAAGGCCCCGTTCACTTCGCTGATTCGAGTTTAGAATTCGAATTTTTTTACAGTAAAAAGCTCTCACAAATAATCACATAATTTTTTTGCTACAATAAAAAGTTCTCACATAAAGTCACATCTCAACTCAAATTTTAAACTCGAATCAGCGAAGTGAACAGAGCCTAAATAATATTATACGGTGCTTTTTTATTTTAATACGTGACGTGGGGACAAAATTTAGGACGTCACAAGATAGAGGATTTAAGAAGAAACCTTGCTGATCCTCCTCTGACACGCTTGACTGTTTGCCTGTCTCACTCGTCTCTCCCTAATAATCTCTCTCTTTCTCTCTCGTTTGCTCGCTCATTCCGAAAAAAAGAAAAAGAAAAAAAAAAAAAAAAAAGGTCGAAGTTTTCCGAATTTACAGCCCCGTACAATAAGGACTGTATTTTTATGGCGTTTTGTTCTCTTAATATTTCTTTGTTTCTTTGAATGAATTTTCTCATGTTCAATTGAAATTTATTAGATGCTCTTCTGATAAGAAAATATATATTTATATGGATATAATTTCTGTCTTTTTTGTTTTTTGTTTTTTTGGGGTGCAATAGCTCTTTGATGACAAACTGATTGTTGTTGATTATTTACATCTTTTAATCATGCAATGATACTCATATATATGTTGATTTAAATTCAGACAGTTTGTGGAGAACAATTACCAATTTGATCACGAGCTGTTAATATTCATTATGGCCTGCACAACAAACAAAGGCCTAAAGAGAGGTTTAAGATTGATTGACTGCTTCAATTATCACGAGTCTCTTAAATGGATCTTTTTAGTGCCCAATTTACAACATCGTCTCTCCTTCTATTCCTCCACTTCCGGAATATTCATCAGGTATACGAATTTTGCTCCTTTATTTATTTATTTATTTGTTAAGGTTGTGTGCGTGTCTTTGATTCCTATTGTAAATCAAAAAGCAATGTGTTTGGGGCTTTAGGGTGCCTATTTTAATTATTCATTTTAAGTCTATTTTTCCTCTCTCTGTAATTTCATTTTATGATTGAAAAATTCTGACACGAAGTTGGTTATTATGGCAGCTCAAATATTTTGTATAAAGGGAGGAACAAAATAACGTCAATACCAAGAGTACTTCCCCAGGACACACGTTCTAATTTTCGTATCTTATGCAAACCGAGTTTATACAGTACTGCTTTTGTAAGTTGACCAATTAATTCATACTTATATATGTATTTGATTTTAAATTTTATATATATTACTCGTCGTCTTTGGCTTTGTGTGTGTATATCTTGTCGCCTAATTTTTCCTTGTTCTAATTATGTTTTGTAAGTGGTCAAAGAAAATTATTCTTTGAAAATACATCCTACATATAACAAATATGCAGTATGTTCCTTTATGAATTTGTATTCTTCTCTCTGACTTTGACTTGAGACACAGAAGAGAGAGAGGGAGAGAGTTGGGAGTTATTTTGGATTTTATACAGGAAGAAGCAAACTGGGAGGAAAAGAGAGTTTCAGAAAGCAAGAGAGAGTGGGCCCAGTAGGTATACAGTGAGGAACAGGAGAGAGAGAGTATTGTTTGAGGAGTTCGTTTGTTTGGGAACTGCAGACTTGCAACTGGTGGTTGGATGCTATTTAGTATTTATTATTCTTGTTGAGTAATAAATAACGTTTGTTTGGGGACTGCAAGCGGTGGTTGGATGCTTTTTAAATGTAAGTTGAGTTAAAAAAAACTTGTTGAAACAACCACTTAAATTAATGCAACGTAGAAAGTCACTTCAATTTTTACGTCTACATGTCAAAAGAGCTTTCATTTTTAAGTGAGCTCTCTCTCTCTCTCTCAGCAAGGGTTTTTGTTTGGATCCTATATCTTGTGACGTCCTAAATTTATTCTTACGTCACGTTTGTACTTACCAAAGAAAATTTTCTTATTTGACCAACGTCAACTGTCCTTTAATTAAGGATTATTAATAAAATAATTACATAAAATGTTTAATTTAAGAATATTATGATTTTTATTAATTCTTAATTTAAAAAACATAGGACTTGTAATACCAACTATATTTCGATTATATATTTTCGACTTATTTTTTTCTAGTTGACTTGCCTTTTTTGTCGGACCATATTTTTATGGACTTGCCTCTTTTTCTATTAGCATTGCTTGTTATTCCGTTCATCTATTTTCGCACTATGTAAACTATTTTGACAGATGGAATTTGTTAAACTGAGAAGGAAATAAAGGGAAGAACACTGTTCAAAGAACAATAACTTGCCCTACCTTAGGTAGTATTGTATAATAATATAGGAAGAAGCAAACTATATACTATAGGAAGAAGCAAACTGGGAGAAGAAATCAGAAATGTAAAAAAAGACAGAGAGAGAAAAAGAAAGAGTGGAGCCAAATGGTTATACAGTAAGGAACAGCTCAGTTAAAGAGGGTAAGAGAGAGAGTATTGTTTGAGGAATTCATTTATTTGGGAACGGTAGACAATGATTGAATAAAGCGTTAGTGCTATTTATTATTCAACACAAAGAGGTATTTATTATTCAAGATCTTGTTCCCTGCGTCCTCAGTTATTTAAATGAGGTATATGCCCAAATGTTAAAATATTTGGATTGTGAGAAACCGAACGCAATAACTAATAAACACTACTCTCTGAATTAGTACTTCTTTTATGTATTATCACTGTTGTGCCATATTCAAGTTGCAAATAGAGAACATGAGATGTTTGGTGAGAATATTAACTACACATCCATGTCACACTCAATATTTACTGTGTTTAATTATACTAACGTTATTTATTACTCAGCAGAAATAATAAATAGCACTAACGCTTTATTCAGCCGTTCCCAAATAAATGAACTCCGGCTCAAACAATACTCTCTCTCTCTCTCTTTCCTTCTTTAACTGAACTATTCCTTACTGTATAACCACTGGGCTCCACTCTCTCTCTCTCTCTCTCTCTCTCTCTCTCATAGTCTCTTTTTAAAATTAGCGGATGTGAAGGTCAAATATGATACAATCTCTTATATAGAGTAATTGAGGGATGATATTCGCATTTCTTTCTAACGTAGAACCACTACAAGCTAATGTCAGCATTTATCTATGAAGGGTCCCCTCTACTTTTTTTACTAGTTGTTATTAATTATTACCACTATCACCTAACTGGGTTGCTGAGGTTAACATGTGAAAAGAATATCTTATATAAGAAATGATTTTTCCATAAGTTTTGTTTTCTTGGTCCTTGCGCTGTCATCGTGATATCGTATTTATACGTTGTTGGGTTGCTGAGCTTATTTACTACTAAAGGTCCCCTCTACTTTTTTTACTGGTTATTATTAGTTATTACTACTACTCACCTAACTTTGTCTCCCGTATCAAGGGTCCCCTCAGAAAGTATCCAACTTCAAGTACACCGTTCGTCCTGTTTCTCCCTCTAACTGAGATCCAAATTCACCCAATAGGCATTTGACTTGATTTCAAGGACGTGTGGTTAGAGGATTCAAACCATATGATTTGAACTATTTTTTATTTACGTGAATTTTTTATGAGAGAAAATACTGTAGCGAATCACGAATCATGATTCGAATCAAGGAACGAATCCCTCTACCAAACATCCTCTTCATCTTCGTGTCTGCTCAGTATAACTCTTCTAACCATTGCAAAATCTTTACACAAGGAAAAAAAGATTTTAATTTTAACTGCGCCATAGTTAGAATTAGAAGAAAAAAAAACAGTTAAGAGATTCTTAATAGTTAAAATTAGGGGATATTTAGTTGGAGGATTCAAACCATGATTTGAATCATAATTCATGGTTTGTTACAATGTTTTATCTCACAAAAAATACACGTAAATAAAAAATAGTTCAAATCACATGATTCTAATCCATGAACCAAACGTCTCCTTGGTGTTTCCTAACCCTTCAAATTTAAAGCTTTAAAGGCCAAAGTTCAAAAGGCTTTTTCCTTCGATGTTTCACAATGTAAATAGTTAAAATCTTGAAAAATAAATAAAAAAATAAAAAATGGTGAAGTGTTTATTTATGGATGATAAATTTAACGGTATCATATGATGAATTATGATAATAATAAAATATAGAATAGCTAAACTGAAAGAACGAAATCTACCGTGAAAAATAAGTAGTTTAAAATCTAATTGTGCGGTTGTGTACCTGAACCAAACCACCCTAAAAACATTTTTTACATATGGTAGTACTAGAAGTCCCTTCACCCCTTAAAAAACGATTTTGCATATTTTGCAAATAATAACAATCTTTTTACCAATACATAGTGAGGGTAAAAAAACTATTGGAGTCTTTATATATATGATATGTGTATATTGTGTTTAGAGGGATTATATAATCAAACTAACAACTGTTAATCGTTTAAATTAAAGAGTTGCTAACCTCGACCATACAATATCCTTCAGAAAACATATGGTGACGAAAACCTTTAAGAACTTTCTTGCATACATCAACAGATTCATGAACCTAGAGATGTACCTTTTGTAAGAGACTCAAATAACAGAAGAAGCTTTTTTTCTTTTTTTAATATAAAGAGGGAAACCAAATCTTACCTTAGAAGGAGTTGATGTTATAGAAATCATATACCATCCAAGATTTAGCTTATCAAATAAGCGTGTATTGAATGTTGCTTCATATGACAAACCAGAAGCGTTTATATTTGCACTGATTATGTATAAAATAACCGTACAATTAACACATTAGTATCATTATTTTAGCTAGAACTAAAATTCAAAGTATATCCATTACTAAACGTATAAATATGAAATCAAAAAATTATTTAACATTCATTTATTTGCATAAATGTTATTTTTGTATTTAAAAATAAATTAGAATTATTGTCAAGTTGAATTACATAGAGTCTAAAATGTAAGTCAAGTACTCCATCGTGATGCCAAAGAAAAGCGGATGGCCACGAAGTTTGTTATGCAAACTCGGCCCCTCGATGAACTTCGACTTAAGATAGTGCTTTCCATCAATGGTGAACCCCCACATATTCGGTGTAAGGCCAGCGACACATGCATATGATCTCTCTTTAGTATCCTTTAAATAGACCTGATAAAATAATCCTTGTAAAAAAAGATTCTAAAGCTACTTTTAAAACTATAAATAAAGTGAATATAATGGTTACACTTCGTACTTGTGATTGTGATTGCATATGGGATGTAGAAGCGCCATACTTAATTGGATTATATTGAGACACCTCAATTTTAAAATTTCTCGTAGCTTTAATTGTAGCTAAATAGTGAATAATAAAAGAGTCTATATCTTTCTCGCAGAAGTCCCCCACTATACTTACCTAAAAAGAAGAATTTGAAATAAATAATAAGAACCGTTGAATTTATTTGTGAATTAAATTAAATTAAATTAAATTAAAATAACAAAAGTTACACACCTACCTCCATGTTATTTCCCCTAAATTGGTTTAACACTGCATCCTTGACAGATTGCAGAGTCAAATTTTGTAATGATATTTGTGTTGGCTTGACAAATCGTTCATCTCCACCCAACATGTCTAACATCATTTTGCGTGGTGGATTGCTCTAAACTCTTCAAGTTGGATTGAAAATTTGATAAGTGTAACTGCCTTGCTCTATCAAATGCATCTTCTAACCAAACACTTTGCTGGATGATCAGAAACAAACCAACCAACCAACATTACTTAAGAATGTCGATAAAGGAAAACATTAGTACTAAGCTTTACCACACGCACAAACTACACAACAAAACTTTTTTAAAAGGAAAAAATGTAAACATAATTATATATATTCGGATTACCTCAAGTAACATATGAAGCAATTGGAAAGCTGCTTGCATCCCATTTTCTCTTGTTGTAAAGCTCAACTCCACTGAAATAAATTCTTCGGTGGACTCCAAGGAATAATCAATCATATTTTTCAAACAAAAGAGTTTTACCTAGACAAAATGTTGTTTTAAATTTATGCACTATTCTTACCTTCGATATAAACTCAGAAAATGCAAGAGTTATATACTATATGTATATACACATATATTAAACTACAGAATATAATTACCTGTTCCTTGGTAAAGTTACCAACACAACCACCCTCGAAAAGAGTTTGAACACCGACAACAATAGTTCCCTTTAAATCTGAACTTTCACGTGCTCTTCCACCATCTATTATAACTCGTATTACACCTTCTTCACCTTCATTTTTTGAAATCTGACATATATGAATTTGTGAATATATTCAATCTTAGGATCATGTGAATGCACCAAAGAAAACATAAGATACGCGCGGGACTAATTCAACTTGATTAAGGGAAGGTCGGTATATATGTTAGAAAAAATATTACAAAACATGAACACAAAAGGAATATAATATCCAATTGTAGAATCTATGAATTATATATTGTTGAAGAAACTCGATCCCAAAAAATAACAATATTTACGCGGGAAACTTTATAATAGGAGAAAAAACACAGTCGTTCGCTGTGTGATAAAAGAAAAAGAAAAAAGAAAAAAGAAAACATTACATTCACAAAGATTCTCTCACTCTCAACAATGTCTAACACTCCCACTCAATCCAAACTTTCACTAAGTGATGTAATTCGAGGCATTTGAAACAAAGTATTTGGGCTCAAAGACCCTTCCCTATTGCTTCCAAATGAATGTGGGACTAATTTCCTTTTTTTTTTGTTTTTTTTGCCAAACAACCAACATATACTTAACACGTATAACTCCTTTGGTTAGTATTACCTTATAATTAACAGAAATTCCATTTGAAAGACGAAGTTGAGTTGTATCGGTTCCCTTATCATGAAGTTTCATCACATTTGGCTTTGAACTGATTGGAGGAATGAAGGTTGGTTGGCGCTCTAGCCATAATTCTTGTAATTCTGATGAAGATATTAACTCTGTTGGAATCTCAATCTGCATCGACAAATTATATATAGAGAGAGAATAATTAGAATAAAAATATTTCTATGTAGAAGACGATTATAATCTTTCTTGACAATATTTTAATAATAGAAAAGACCATCACCTCAGGTTCAGCATGAACAACCTCCTCTAATCCTTGTTTCATAGCAAATTCAATCTCGCTACGATTTATGGTGAACTTGATTAGTTCTCCATTCACCTCACAAGTGCTTGGAGCACATGCCATGATTGTTGTGGGAACAGGTGCACTAGGCTTTCCAAAATCGGAAACAAACTCTAACAATTGGGCGCCAATAGAATTTACCTCATAACAATAATATAATATAGATTAGCTAAAATTGAAAGAATGATATATACAGTGAAAAAATGAGTGTTGATGAACCCAACCTCATCAAATGAGATCTTCCTCCGGGATCAAAACCAATAAGCAACAAATGGGTGTTTAGGAGAAAGTATAATACCGATGGGTCTATACTAACATTCAAAGCTAGATTAGTAGCTAAAGGCTTTAAACAAAAGCGTGGTATAGACTATTTCGATACATATGCTCCGGTAGCTAGATTGACATCCATAAGAGTGCTATTTGCAATTGCATCAATATGCAATTTGCATGTGCATCAAATGGATGTTAAGACGGCTTTTTTAAATGGTGATCTTGATGAGAAAATCTATATGGAACAACCCAAAGGGTTTGCGCTACTTGGAAATGAAAAGAAGGTATGCAAGTTAGTCAAGTCACTTTATGGTATAAAGCAAGCACCAAAACAATGGCATGGGAAATTTGATAATGTCATTTTATCTCATGGTTTTAAGCATAATAATGCGGATAAATGCTTATACTCTAAATTTACAAATTGTTTTGGTGTGATAATATGCTTATATGTTGATGACTTGCTTATTTTTGGAACAAACATGCAAGGGGTAAATGATACCAATAAATATCTAACTTCACAATTTAAGATGAAAGATCTTGGTGAAGTAGATACTATCTTAGGCGTAAGAGTGAGGAAGCATAGTGGGGGTTACTCGTTGTGTCAATCTCATTATATTGAGAAGGTGCTTCTTAAATTCAATCATTTGAAGTTTAAAGAAGCAAATACCCCATATGATTCTAGTATTAAATTACTAGAAAATGCAGGCAGAGCTGTGGCACAGCTTGAATATGCTAGTGCGATCGGTAGCTTAATGTATGCTATGCATTGTACAAGACCCGACATAGCATTTGCGGTATGCAAAATGTCTAGGTTCACGAGTAACCCGGGTATCGAACATTGGAATGCAATTGGAAGAGTACTTGGTTATCTTAAAAGAACCATTAACTTGGGTTTGTCATATAATGACTATCCGACCATACTTGAAGGGTACTCAGATGCAAGTTGGATAACAAGTGCAGGTGATAATAAATCTACATATGGGTGGATTTTCACAATTGCAGGAGGAGCCGTCTCTTGGGCTTCTAAGAAACAAACGTGCATAACTCACTCTACGATGGAGAGTGAGTTTATAGCACTTGCCGCTGCAGGCAAAGAAGCGGAATGGCTAAGAAATCTATTGCTTGATATTGAGTTGTGGCCACAACCGATGCCATCTATTTCTTTGTACTGTGATAGTGAAGCTACTTTGTCTAGAGCTTATAACAAGGTTTATAATGGAAAATCTAGACATATTAGCTTGAGACATGAATATGTTAAACAATTAATAACCGATGGTGTTATTAATATTGTTTATGTTAGGACAAACAAGAACCTAGCGGATCCTTTGACAAAAGGTCTTTCAAGAGACTTAGTCAAAGAAACATCTAGTGGAATGAGACTGAAACCTTTCTTTGAAAGAGTCACCAATGATGGTAACCCAACTATGTAATAGTTGTACCGCTATTCCATAGTTAAATGGGTAAGAACAAATTATTGTTATATGACGGGTTAGCACCGAACTTTAATTAGACCCTTCCAGGATATTGGTGCAAAAATAGCTACGTGTTTGAGGTTGAGTTTATACTCTTAATGAAGTTTGAGTCTCTTAGTAACTAGTGATATAATTCGAACTTCGCCTAAGTGAACATAAGGAATGGTGTCGTTCCTAGTGTGTGAGGTTGAGTTTATACTCTTAATGGAGTTTGAGTCTCATAGTAGCTAGAGATATAATTCGAATTTCACCTAAGTGAACATAAGCAATGGTGACGTTCCTAACAAGACCTTGGTTTAGACTTGTAAATGTTCATGAATCCAAGATAGATCACAAGGCCGGAATAGTGCTAAATGATTGGAACAATTTTTGAAATCTGGGATAACACATATGTGATATATTTCCGTTATTTGCTTAAGAGACAAAGTTTAATGCGAAGCACACTATTGTCTCGTGAATACTTTGAAGTATAGTCACTAAGTAAAGGTTAAAATCGAAAGATACCTTCATGTATGTATGTGTTTATCGTTGTTAATTCTGAAGAAATATTACAATCTAGTGGGGGATTGTTAGAGAGATTGTAATATATCTCTCAATTTCGATATCACAAAATTGGCTTAAAAAAATTCGAAAAGAGTGGGCTGATACTAGCACGCGCTGCAGTGCGCAGGAGTGCGCACTGCAGCGCATGGACGCGCTGCAGCGCCCTTGGGCACTGCAGCCTGCGCAAAACAGACCTCTCGGGTCTGTTTTGCTAAGCCCGCGCGCTGCAGCGCACGGACGCGCTGCAGCTCGCGCTTGGGCGCTGCAGCCTGCGCAAAACAGACATCTCGGGTCTGATTTTACTAAGCCCACGCACTGCAGCGCGCCTCTTGGGCGCTGCAACACAAATTGTTAACGGAAAATGTGTTTTCATGTGTTTTAGTTATCTGAAAGGTCTCGAACCATTGCATATATTTGTGATATGTTTTTTCACATATCTGAGCACTTATTAACAATAGAAATAACTATTGATATAAGTGTATCAGCATATAAAAGATAACCTTCAAATTAAAAAGGTATCTTTATGTGAAAGGTTGTAACACTTAAAGAAGATGGATGCATCTATGTCTTTATATGATGGACTTCAGAAAATACAGATAATTGATTGTTCTGGAACTCAATATTTTTTTACTGGATATTGTGTTCAAGGGTTTGCTGTATCTTGGGGGTAATTTTCCATTTAAAACTCATTAGCAAACTTTGAGAAGTGAGGGCAAATAAAACCTTAAAAGAAAGTATTCATATACGCCTCAAACCCTCTTTCTACTTTCTCTATTCTTTTCATCCTCTCAATTCCGAATTTCTTCAACATAGTATGCTCTTCGTAGTTAATCCCCAACTCTTTTAGCCTATATATATATATATATTACACACATTATAACAACACAGGAAAATTTATTTTTTTTTTGGTATTTTAGTACTTTGGACCCAAGGGAGCAAAGAAAATGTAATATACCAGGACATAGATAGCATCATCGCTATGTTTAAGTTAATTAAGTCAAAAAAGATTTTTGACATTTTCAGTTGTTGCACTTGGCTGCTTGACATTACGTCTAGTTATTTTGCTTAATATATTTTTATCTACAATTTGAGAATTAGCAACAGTAAGATGTTCACCTAATTATAGAACCGTTTTCTCTTTGCTTTGTAAATTGTGTTTAGTGATTTAGAAGTAATAGAGGGTGGGTAAGATGGTGTACAAAGGTAAATATTAGTTATTATTCAAATGTTATCTTTTGTTCTATATAGGAATCGATCATGAGGCGCTTCACTACTTCTTACGTTGGTGATGTATAGGTTTCACATTATGGTTTTGAAATGGCAGTTTATGCTATTAGTTTTGTTATATAATAAGCCAATATGGGAATTTATATTGAAAACAAATTGTGCCAAAGGCACCACTTATCCCTTTAATTAATACCCAATTTATGGTATTCTTTTCTCTTTGTTGATTTATCTTTTTCAATGTGAAATCTGAATAATATTATATGGTACTTTTTTATTTAATACGTGACGTGAGGACAAAATTTAGGAGGTTACACAATTTAGAAAGCTGATCCTCCTCTAGGGCCGTAAGAAATCACCCCAAACCCGACGAATCCGCCAAGCCGAGCTGACCCTACTTGAAAATCACGGATTTCTAATTTTTTATTTAATTTTTAGTTTTAATTATGCCTAACCCACACTGCGCGTGTAGGGGCGCGGGG